CTTTCCCTGCTTCCTTAGGCGGGTGCTAGGCAAGGTCAGGATGGGCACTGAGCAGAAGAGAGCTCCGCTGAAGACTGGGATGGCCCCAGGTCCACCTTAAAGCCCCTTGCTCTAAGCATGTGCCCCTGCCATGGGGGAGGCAGACAAGTGAAAGCCCTCTCCCTGCTCGTGCAGCGGTTGGGAGAGTAGCTAAGTGGGGCACCTGCTCACGTGTGTGCTCAGAGGCTCATGTATGACTGTCCTGGCTCAAGTCCTTTCCTTGTGGCATCCCATTCAGTCCACATCACTGTGTTGCCTTGTAAGCGGCATGATCTGTGATGCCACTTCGTCCCACATTGTTTCTCCTTCATCCCAGATTTCCATGCAGAACGCTTCTGCAAAACCGTTTAAGCATACTTAGTGGCAGCAAATATTTAGCTCCTCTGTTTTATTCCAGTAACATAATCGGCAGCAGTTACAATTAAGACGAACGTGCAGCTGCACTGCTATTTTGAGCGTAGACCACTTTGGTTCCCCAAGATCTTCTCTAAATTACTTTTACAGCACCATAAAGACGAACTTTTTATAAACCACAGGATTAGACGTGTTCCCTCCAAGTCAGTGAGCACTCGGGATTCAGGGCTTTCAGCAGCAGAGGCATTTAAACTAACTGCCTAAACCCACAGCAACTCCGTTTGAGCATATTCAGGTACCTGGGAACATTGCATTTATACTGAACATGCTCAGTGTCTTCGGCAACACATTCGCATGGTCCCTCACGCCCCAGTGTTACCGTGTGTCATGTACTCAGCCGCTACCAGATCTAGACATGGACTAATTGCTGGAGATCCTGCTACAGAGAGATTAGTTGCAGCCTAATTCAGGGATGACCAAACTACAGCCCATGGGCTGGATCCAGCCTGCCGACAGGGCTCTGCACAGGTCCGGAAATTTGACAGTATGGTGTGTGGAGGCAGCTTTAACCGACACGGCTCCCAGAGTCACAGCAATTAACAGTCATCACTCACCCTGCCACCAAATTTCTGGACCCGTGGAGAGCCCCGCAGGCCAGATCCAGAGCACAGAGCTGTATCATCTTCCTCATGGGGCTGCTTGCAGGACTGGATATTTGGCAATAGGAAGAGCAGCTGCTGCCGTGGATCTGGGAGCTGCAGCAATTGATGTCGCCACTGCCAAATTCTAGCCCAGCCCAGATGGGACAGCTCCATACTGCAGATCCGGCCCATGGACTGGCCCTGTACCACTCATCTGGCCAGATGGGTTGGACCCCATTAGTCAAAATAGTCAAAATCATAGAACTCTAGAATTAAAAGGGACCTCGGAGGTCATCGAGCTCATCCCCTAGAGCAAACATGAGGCAGTAGTTTGGGCCTGAGAGGGCTCATAGGAACATTAATAATAAGGCAATCCATGCAGGAAAGCTTTCTTGGGAAGAGGCTTGTAAGAGCTGTCTGAGGGAGAAGGAAATGGGTGGCTGGTGTAGGAGAAGCATGGGAAAAGGGGATGCACTGAGCTACTCACCCCATAATCTGGAGCTGGAGGCATCCGTGGCACTCTGTGGGAGCAGCAGCCTGTCCAGCGTATGCACTGTCTCAGTCCCTGTGCTCCACAGGTGAATGCAAGAAACAGCCGGACACGCAACTTCAGCTGTCACCACCCATTTTGTAGTGAGCAAAGAGACCAAGTCACCCAAGGGCAGTGGTCCTCCAGTGCTTTTCCATGGCTCCTTAGAAGACCAGACAGGTTCTCCCATAATTCACCGGAGCAGATAAACACAAAGAGCCATGGGATGTGCCCACAGGCATCCCAACCACACGCCTGGGGATGGGGGAGCAGCAGCAGCAAAGCTGTGACCTTGCAGTGTGTCCACACTCAGGCTAGGCTTCCCCTGATGCTTTGACCTGGGCAGAGATCACCCGTGTCAATTCTGCAGTGAAGACAGGCCCCGAGTCAAAGTAGAAGGGGTATCAGCTCCAAAGCAGTAGAGACAGGAAAACATGCTGAACAGAGCTGAGACAGGAAACAAGATACTGGGCCAGCCGTTGGTGTAACCTCAGCTTTGAATCACTTATTTGGATTAGGGTAACAGCAGGGTGCCCCCACCTGCAATCTGAGTCTGTTGTGTTAGGTCAAGGGTGGCCAGGCTGCAGCACATGTGCCCCAAGTGGCAAGGGCAGCTTCTGTGTGTGGTACATGGCAGATCAGGGAGGGGGAAAGCAGCCCAGTGGTAGGCAAGGCAGGGAGCAGAAAGCAGAGCAGCAGTTTAGGCAGGGGAAGGAGATCAGAGTGGCACTCAGGAGGGCACAGGGCTTAACTTGTGGCAGAACTGCCAAAAAGGGCATTCCCCACTGGTATACGGAGGTCAGCGATGAAAGGTTCATATTGGAACAAGTGACAAATCAGGCTATATCCACTAGGCCTCAGGCTCGATTCATAAATGTCAGCAGCTTCCAGTCTTCACTGAGCAGGGCCAGTGCCATGATTGCCACTTTCCAAATGCTGGGCATAGTAGCCCCTTCTTTGCTGAGCATCTTACTCTGCATCCGACCCCAGGTCCGACGGAGGAATTTGCCAGGGCTGAGCCTCAAACAGTGGAGATGCTGGAACAGGAAGAGGAGCCATCGTGAGAATCACACCAAGGCTCACAACTGTAGAGGCCTGTAGGCACCCAACCCACACAAATCCAGGGGAGTCACACATGCCCCTGTCTTTAAACATCCACATTCAAAGGCATGTGCAGTTACTTTTAACCCACAAAAATTGAGACATGATTTTTAAGCACGGTCAAAACATTCCTCGTTCACTGCCTGCACTTTGGAGACTGAGGGATGCTGTTAAAGACCCCTACTCTGGAGCACTGTCTCTAATGCTGGTCATTGTAGGATGGATGGTCACTGTCCAGTTTGTTCTGAGTATCCTAGGCTATCAGCAGCAATCCAGCTGTTTTAGCTCAGTTTGCAGCCTATCCTATCACAGTCAACTCAGGCTCTGAAGAAACTTCTGTGCCCTGGAGGTGACCACATGGGAGTCAAACTCAGGGAAAGCCTTTGCTAGCATCCAGAACACTATGAAGACCATCATGATAGAGAGATGCCATAGGAAACTGTTATGTTTGAGGCCTGAAGTCCTGTGCTCATTTAAGGGCTGGTAACTTAGCCCTAAAATGCCCACTGCCTGCTTTGGCCTGGAGAAACATAATGGCAAAGTACCCCAGCCTCCAACCCAGAGGGTCCGACTCTGGGTGGCAGCTGCAGAATGAGACAAGATAGCCCACAAACCTGGCAAACTTCTGTCCATCCTTGTAAAGGCCTTCTTCCCTTTTTCACTCAGTTTTGGTACTGGAGGTCGGACAGGTGCTGGTCGTATCCCAGCATTCCAGCGGGTGCTCTGAGCCAGCATCTTAGCTGTTGCTTTGGTAACGGGATACCCCGGTGACTGGTGAGTAGCCCAACTGGGGCGAACTGGTGTTTTCGGGCCAGAGCCAAGGTCTGCAGAGAGTGACAGCTGGGGGAGAAAGAAAGAAATATTATGCTCTCCTCGGGGCCTGCAAGCAAATGATGGTGTCTGAGCTCCTAGGAAACCAAGACGTATGCTTGGTTTGGACAGGACATGCAGTTCTGGTTTTGCTTTCCAGCAGGGATCTGACATTACAGTTCAAAGCGCTTCCTCATAAGCAAGCTGACTGCTAGCAGAGCCCGGCATGACTTTATGGGTATCTATGTAGACTGGGCAAGAGCCCAACCTGTGAGTGACAAAAGAAGCCAGTTAGTGCATGCAGGGTGTTTGCATTCATTGATTCTCCACATTGACTCGCACCTTCATGCCCAAACTCTGCCTCTGAGAGACATGCATGCTGCTCCGATTGAAATCAATGGACAGGCCCCCAAGGGAAGAATTTCGGCTGTTGGGAAATTGGCTGATCTTCACAAAGGAATAAGTGAGGATCAGGTTATTTTTCTGTGTTATGAAGAATTCCAGCTGGCAACAAGCTCCACGTTTACAGCTGCATCTGTGTAGCAGCAGGGAGAGGGCATTAGTGCTAAAAACCCTTTGCACTTCCACAGCAGTTTTCACTTGAGAACCAAATGGTACCTATTGTACTAACTGGATCTCGCTGCCTGGCGATTACATATCAGCCCCTGAGGTCGGGGTAGTTTGCAATGCAAAGTGCAGCCATCTCTTAGGCAGGATCTAGTAACGGCTGAGTAGGGCACAGCAGCACCATACAATTGCCTGGGACAGGAAGAGAGGAATATGCTGCTCAGTTCAGTCCACGGGTGCAGTTTAAAAAAGAAACACACTTAATCACTGAGTAACCTGGGAGTCACTTCAAAGGACTGGAGGAGGGCTCCTGTCCTCACCCAAAGGGCCGTGGGAATATAACTGCCTCGAGGGCTTCAGTTTCATGTCTTGCCTACTGAAAGGTAGTTGTAGCCACTGAGAAGTGCCCTTATGCTGTGCAGAGAGATCAGCTCAGACCTGACCCCAAGGAAGAAGAAACACCCATCGAACCCCACAGCACCTCCATGCTTTCTTCAGAATCCTCCCATCCAAGTATTAGCCAGACCTAGCCCTGCTTAGCTTGTGCAAAGCAGCATCAGGAACTTTTGCTTCGCACAACTGTCCAGTAATCTGATTTTATTTTACTGGGCCATGTCTGTGATTATGCGCTGAAGAGCTTACACCTAACTTTGCACTGATTGTTCACTCCCCAACATGGATCCCAAAACATCGCTCCGGGGGTGCAGGGGCAGTGCAATTAGGGTGTCTCACTATGAATTTAGAGACAGGGCCTGCTGTAGACTCCTGCTAAAGATCACCCCCAATTGACACACCTGTCAATGGGCACCTGGAGCATTAAAGGTGGCTGGGCATGATGCCAGCCACAGCATACCCTCTTGTGGTCAAGGAGTGACCTTAGTGTGCTGGCCCAATGGGGCACGTCCCCATGATCAGGAACGTGTTTCCCCAGAGACAAATAGCAGCGGCACATATTTGCGCCACTGGTAGTTGTCCCTGGGCACGCCCTAGCATGTGTGTTCTGGCATGCGGCAGATTGCCACACATGTGTACTCGTGGGGCTGTGCACATGGAGGGCTGCTCTTTGACTTGTGTCAGAAGCTGCATGCCAGCAATGTCAAACGGACCCAAATCCCTGGTTCAGCTGCTGTCTGCAATAGCAAACATGCACTAGAAACTATTTACTTAGAAACTCTTTGGGAAGCCTTAAGCGCAGGTGGCAGGATGCAGACTTCAGAGCGACTTAGATTGGAAGATTGGGCCAAAAGAAATCTCATGAGGTTCAACAAGGACAAGTGCAAAGTCCTGCATTTAGGAGAGAACAACCCCATGCGTCAGTACAGGCTGGGGGCTGACTGGCTGGGCAGCAGCTCTGCAGAAAAGGACCTGGTGGTGTCAGGGGACAATAAGCTGAACAGGAGCCAGCAGTGTGCCTAAGAAGGCTACCGGCATCCTGGGCTGCATTGGTAGGAGCGGTGCCAACAGATTGAGGGCAGTGATTCTTCCCTCTGTTCAGCACTGGGGAGGCCACATCTGGAGTGCTATGTCCAGTTTTGGGTCTCCCACTACAAAAAGGATGTGGACACATTGGAGAGAGTCCAGCGGAGGGCAATGGAAATGGTTGTGGGGCTGGGGGACAGGACTCCTGAGGAAAGGCTGAGGGAACTGGGCTAATTTAGGCTGTAGAAGAGAAGACTGAGGTGGAATTGAATAGCAGCCTTCAGCTCCCTGCCGGGGGGTTGCAAAGAGGATGGAGCTGGGCTGTTCTCTGGGGCAGATGATGAACAAGGAGCAATGGGCTCAAGCTGCAGCAAGGCAAGTTTAGGTTAGATATTAGGAAGGATATTTTTACTAGGAGGGTAGTAAAACACTGGAACAGGTTACCCAGAGAGGTGGTGGAGTCTCTGTTCTTGGAGGTTTTAAAGACCCAACTAGACAAAGCCTTGTCTGGGATGATGTCGTTGAGGCTGGTCCTGCTTGGAGCAGGGGGTTGGACTAGATGTGACCTCCTGAGGTCCCTTGCACCGTCATTTTCTGTGATTCTGTGACTGTTGTCCAGGGCTAAACTGCTGCATGGAAGTTACTGCTTTTCTGCATTTTTCCCCAATTATTTGATTCAGGCAGATAGGACTGGCAGGGGCCTCCTGAGATTTTGAGTCCAGTCCCTTGTGTTTCCAGGCCATCATTGACCAAAGGAATCCCCCAAATCACCGTTTTAAACCCTCACCCATAACTGGAAGGAACAATGCATGAAACACCAAGAACCCCAATAACAGCTGATGGCACGAGATGATGAGTAAGACTTCATGCATAATACTCTGCTTAAATGTAGCAGTAAGTGGGCACATCTACACGAGATGTTTACTGCAAAGTAGACTAATTAGCTCTGCAGAAAACATCCTGCACCTACACGTGTGGCCCTATTAGGCCACAAGAAAATAATGAACTCTGCTGCAGGATAGTACTTGTAACTACAAGTAGTACCCTGCTATGGAGTTTTTTACTTCACAGCACCGCACGCATAGACACTGAAACGGCTGGCTTGGCACAAGGGTGCTTCAGTGCAGGGGCTGCCTGCCGGCTGGCCCTACACTGGAGCACCCTCATGCCCTATCACCCCCTCCACAGCATGGTGAGCCAGGTCTGAGCAGCGCCAGGCTGGCAGGCTGACCTCCTGGGCCTCCTGCCAGCTGGGGCCGCTCCAACCCAGCTCAATATACTGCGGATCCAGGCACATGTGTGAACGCAGCACCTGGGAGCAAAAAACTATGGCATGAACAGCGCCAGAGTTTATGGCTTCACCTTAATAGCACATGTAGACATGCCCAGTGGTGGGCAAATATCAATGGAAAGAGATGCTGATGAGTACGAAGGAGCTGGAAATGTCCCGGTGTCCCGATAAAGCGTGTGACAATGTAAAGGAGATGGCATGATGGAAGCTTCCTTCCCCTGGAGAAGGAGACACAAAGGCAGGTCGGAGTGGGTGCTGCACTGAGCTGACTGTACCTGGTTTTTACGCTCCTGCGTTCCTTCTGATTTCGC